ATTGCAGAGATGTATGGATGCAGTCCTCCAAGCTCATGGGAGTCACACACAATATTCATTCTTTTTCCACAGCACCATGACTTTATATTCTATACTGTACAATATTTCAAGGCATGATAATATTTTATATTAGTAAAATAAGCGTAATCTAGAGGCCTTTGCTTTTGATAAAAGCCACTTCTGATACCAAATGATCAACTAAAAGTCAAGTTATTAGTTGTTGTTGCTAAAACTTGGATAGGCGACAAGACTTTTGTCAGATAATATATATTACAGTGAATACTAAATTCATTCAATAAAAATAAGAGATTATTAACAGACTGTTGGTCCAAAGAGAAGCAAACCTGAAAAGCATCCCGATTTCTGTTATGAAAGAAACGTTTTTTTTTTTCTTATACTGTAAACCTAAAAAAAAGACTCTTAAGTAAACTACTGTTGTGTCTTCATTGTGTTTGCTGTCCTGTCTCGCTGTTAGAATACAATTACCAATTCACTCAAATGGTGCAACTTTGTGTTTTTCTGTTTTGTTTTGTTTTTTGCTGTACTGTCATGGCCCAGAACAATGACTGAGCACTTGGCAAATCAAAGCAAACTGGCCTGCTCTCATTCCTGACAAGTCCTGACATCTGGCACTTGATGATGCCAAGATTCTAAGTGACATCTCCACGGTAACAGCTCAAACACGGCAGCACATCACTGCACAGTCTAGCGCATCCGCCATGGTGACCCCACAACTCTGTCCCTGTGTGTGTGTGTGTGTGTGTGTGTGTGTGTGTGTGTGTGTGTGTGTGTGTGTGTACGCGGATTCTTTCTGCAGTGGTATTAATGGGCACAGATATACATAAGCAAATAAATAAGACATGCATTAAAATATTTATAGACCACTGACCTCAGTAAAACAGGGGTCATTATTTTATTGTTAAATTGACTCTTTACATTGGCCTATATAAACTGGTATTGTTATTGTCGTGAAACTGTTATTGTTAACTATAACTATTACATATCTTTTTTTCACTGAAATAAAATGAAATATGAACTTCTGATTAAAACTCAGACAAATGAAATTAAAATTAGAAATGCTGCTATCAAGCTGAAATCAACAAATTTAAGTTTAAATTACTTCAATAAAAGCTAAAATAAAGCATTAAAGTAAAACAAACACTGGTAAAAAGACTGAATTCAAAATCAAATACTGTTATGCTATTCAGGAGCCATGTGCACCCACTGACAGGTAAAATCTGCTTCACTCTCTCCTTAAAGTTCAAAGCAAATTTGAATGCCAAAGCATTTTAGATATGTACAAAAAATAGCCCATGTAATATATTAACATCATCAAATTAATAAAATAATCAGCAAATGAGAAATAAATTACAGAAAAGTACATTTTTAATCAAAAAATGTCATCAAACTGACAATATCTCTAAAAAATATATAATTGAAAGAATAAAACAAGTAGTTTTTTTTAAATAAAGCAAATGTGTTGATTAACCATTACTAGAGCTGTATATATATTTTGCAGCCAGTTTAGATGTCATTTCATCCTTTCCGAGTATAAGTTTTTCTAAGTCGTTCAGATTAATGAATCAGTTATTTACTTTTTATCTCCGTACCGCGGCTGTGCGTGCGCTGTCAGCTGTGAAACCAGAAGAAAAGTTGTATGTAATAAAAGAGTAATACAAAAACGCATACGAGCTCTAGAAACTGAAAGCAAAAGTTGAATTACAGACATTTTTGAAGATTCAGAAACACGGAACGGATACATTTTTAAGTCCTAAATGCACATTTTAACATTTTTTTTTTTTTTTGACGCTTTTATCCAAAGCGACTTACAAATGAGGACAAGGAAGCAATTTACACAACTAAGAGCAACAATGAATAAGTGCTATAGGCAAGTTTCAGGTCTGTAAAGTCTAAGAAGGGGAAGTATTAGTAGTATTAGTATTTTTTTTTTTTTTTTTGTACAGTTAGTGTGATATTCAAAGAGGCAATTGCAGATTAGGAAGTGTAGTGGAGACTAAATAGTTTAGTTTTTAGTCGTTTCTTGAAAGTAGCGAGTGACTCTGCTGTTCTGATGCAGTTAGGGAGTTCATTCCACCAACTGGGCAGATTGAGCGTGAGCGTTCGCGAAAGTGATTTCTTCCCTCTTTGGGATGGAACCACGAGGCGACGTTCATTCACAGAACGCAAGTTTCTGGAGGGCACATAGATCTGCAAAAGTGAGAGCAGATAAGAAGGAGCAAGGCCAGAGGTCACTTTGTAGGCAAACATCAGAGCTTTGAATTTGATGCGAGCAGCAACTGGCAGCCAGTGCAAACGGACTAGCAGCGGAGTGACATGTGCTCATTTAGGTTAATTGAAGACAACTCGTGCTGCTGCATTCTGGAACAGTTGAAGAGGCTTGATAGAGTTAGCTGGAAGCCCAGCTAGTAGAGAGTTGCAGTAATCTAGTTTGGAGAGAACAAGAGCTTGAACAAGGAGTTGAGCTGCATGTTCAGATAGGAAGGGTCGGATCTTTCTGATGTTATAGAGTGCGAATCTGCAGTTCTAGAAATGTGGTCAGAGAAGTTTATTTGGTCATCAATCGTTACTCCAAGGCTTTTATATATGTTATATATATATATATATATATATATATATATATATATATAACATATATATATATATTGTGTCAATCAAGCACACAATCAGGCAAGATTTTTGTAAATAATACATTTAATTTAGTTTTTGTTTTTCTTACATTAGTTTACTCATTTTTTTTTAAAGCTTGCCACTTTAAAAAGATGCCACTATATAAACGTGAGATTTGTTTTCTGGCATTTAACATTGCAACAACACCTTAACCCACCCTTAAAACCCACCCATACCACCAAACCCGTCTCTATCCCACCTCAAGAGCACCAGAAGTGTTCTGCAATACTTTAAAACATAATAAGTACATTGTATTTATTCTTTGATGCAAGTGCATACACTCTCAGAAATAAAGGTATGCGAGCTGTCTCTGGGATGGTATTTTTTTCAAAAGGTATACATTTGTACATAAAGGGTCAATACTGGTACCTCAAAAGTATACCAAAAAATTTAAGAGGAACACTTTTGTACTTTTTAGGTACTAATATTTACTCTTGAGGTATTAATATGGACCTTTCAGGTACAAATTTGTACCTTTTGTAAAGGTACCACCCCAGTGACAGCTTGTGTACCTTTAACATAAGACCAACTTTAACATAAGGCCACTTAACAAAAAGAGGAACCAATGAGTAATATAAGGTGGAACCTTCTGAGTTTGCTTGTCGCTATTTACCTACTGAAGGTCATTGCATTTGGGAACAGAGATAAGGTGATTCTGGAGTCAGACATGAGTTTTAGTAGTCAGTAGTAAATCAGCATGCTATCATCTCAAAAACATTGCAAGAATTAGATGCTTTGTTTCCAGTGAGGATTTAAAGAAACTTGTTCATGCGTTTATCAGCAGTAGGGTGGATTACTGTAATGGACTCCTCACTGGCCTTCCCAAAAAGACAGACAGTTGCAGCTCATCCAGAAAGCTGCTGCCAGGATTCAGACCAGAACCAGGAAATCAGAGCACATTACACCTGTCCTCAGGTCTTTACACTGGCTCCCAGGTACACTCAGAATTGAAAGTATTACTACTTGTCTTTAAATCACTAAATGGCCTAGGATCTCAATACATTACAGATATGCTGACTGAATACAAACCTAATAGATCCCTCAGATCTTTAGGATCAAGTAAATAAAAAATTCCAAGAGTTCAGTCAAAGCAGGGTGAATCCACCTTCTGTAAAAAACAGGACTGACAACCACTCATCCAGCCAGCAGAGGGAATTCTGGCTGCCAGTCCTTCGTTGATTACTTCCTGTTTGGTGGCCATATTAACCTGGCATACCAAACACTCAGTGTGAAGTATTGCCAGCATCTGCTGCCTTACCAAGCATTTTCTCACTGTTTGATCTGCCTTTCTGTTATGACCTTTGAGCCTGTTTTTGTTGACTACTGATTTTTGGAAGACTGCTTTTGCCTTGGTGGACACTCTGTTTGTTACTCTTGAACCTGCATGCTTTTAGACTACGATTTAGCCTGGTGTTTTGGATTTGTTTGCTAATAACTATTAAACTTCTTGCATTTGGATCCCATCTGTCTCCATGTCGTCACCACCGCCATTGTCACACCTTAAGCTACCGGAATCAACTTCCAGACATGATCAGATGTGCTCCAACAAAAGGCACATTTAAAGCTAGACTGAATGAAAACTGTCATAGCCTACAGGTTGCACTATTCTGTCTTTCTTTTCATTTTCTATCCTTTAAAACCTTTTTTAACACATTCTAATCTGTTTTTAGTAATTTTTTAATCATATTTATTGTCTTGTTTCTTTTATTCTTGTTTGTGTAAAGCACTTTGAATTACCATTGTGTATGAAATGTGCTTTATAACTTGCCTTGCCTTACTATGGTGTGAATCAGTGTGCGGGGTTAAACATGCAGTGATGTAGAACTAAGTGTTGATCATATTCTGTGGAGGTGGAGTTTAGCCACACTATTATGACATAAAAGTGTCTGACATAATCTTAGCTTCCTAAGAATTAGCCATACTCATCTAAATGTGGGAAGAACGCATAACTTTTAAGTGTAATAAATGTTTTCCTATTAAAGACAGAGCCGATTTCAGCATCCGTCCACCCTTCCCGATGCGTTGGAGTTGAGACGAGAGGAAGGGGGCTGCGAGGTTTTTGGCCAGTGAGAGGAAGAGGGAAATAGAGAGGGATGAACAGATGGATGAGTGATCCCGCTGGGGTGTGTCATTCATCACTGTCACCCGGAAAAAGAAGGTGCATGAAAGATGACCGAACAGAGCGGCACAGAATGAAAGATGAGCAGAAGGACGGCAGAGGAGGGACTGATTTAAGCATATACTTTTCATATGTGTTGAAGTGAGGAAATTGAGGCTCATCTAAATTTTCAGCGCACTCAATGAGGGTTTACCTGTGGGTGAAAGCAGGGCTGGAGACAGGAGGTTTGCTCTGTGGTGGAGGATTCTGGGGCTTTCTTGAACACTGGCCCCATAGGAGCGCTTAGGTGGGCGTCCTGGACGAGAGCTGGAAGGGGTGTAAACACACATTAGTATTGCAGTCATTGTTAAGGACAACAGAGAGGACTGCTCATAGAAACACTGGTGAAAGATGTACACAATGGTCCGTTAGTTAATGTATTTACTAACATTAACTAAGTAGGAATAATCTTGTAAAGCATTTATTAATCATAGTTCCACATTACTTAATGCATAATTAAAGTCCCAATTGTGCTTGTTAAGATTAGTTAATGCACCTGAGAACGATTTAACTTGAATTACATTAACTAACATTAACAAAGTTGGTTAAATATCGTAACAAATGTATTACTAATTGTCTGTTCATGTTAACATATACTAACATTAACCAATGAACCATTATTGTAAAGAGTTGCAGACATTCTTTTACATTTCTAGATTAAATTACATCAACATCTCAACATATCATGGCATAACATGCAGCAAAATTACAATAAAACATCACAGGATACTTAATGATATTTTTAAAAGTTCATTTTAAAGTAAACCCCACTGATAACAGTTCTCCGTTAAAGAGAGAGGTTGGCCAGATACCTCGAAACATTTTAGAAACCTGTAACCATTGACTTTCATAGTAGGAAACAAATGCTATGGAAGTCAATGCTTACATTTCTCAAAATAACTTCTTTTGTGTTCAGCAGATCAAAGAAACTCGGACAGATTTCTGACAAGTGAGGGTTGAGTGAATGACGGCAGCAAACTATCCCTTTAAATTTAGCAATCTTTCAGGTAAATATTTTACTTGTGATATAATTTTTATAATAGATATTTGAAATATATTTTAATATATTTTAAACTGATTGGGTTGTACAATACTGGTAATAAGCTGTTATCTAATTTCTTTTTCTGTTATTTTAAGGGTTCGCTTGTAAATATTATTTCATACTATTAAATATTTAACATCTAAAGCTGTCGAAGCAGAGATGAATATTACATAAAGCACAAATAAATGGACAACACAACTGTTAATCAACTGATATTTTTATTGTGTAATGGAGAGCACTCGTAAATATGAGACTGTTTTATGAATGTTATGTTATAGAGGTCAGACATTTTTAAGGACTTTTGACTGTATTAAAGTTTTTGAATGGATCCTGACAACACAAAAGATCCACTAAATGTAACGTTAAATAAGACTCAACAAATGGTAATAATAAATGTTTACAAAGCGATGTAATACTTCTGAGAATCACAATCGCTATATATATATATATATATATAGTTAACTTTTCCGGCTTTTCCCATTTTTTTTCAGATTTTTTCAGCACATTTCTAAACAAAATAGTTTTAAAAACTCATTTCTAACAACTGATATATTTAATCTTTGCAATGATGACAGTACATAATATTTGACAAGATATTTTTCAAGACACTTCAGCTTCAGCAAGTGACATTTAAAGGCTTTACTAGGTTAATTAGGATAACTGGGCAGGTTAAGGTAATTAGGCAATTTATTGTAGAACAATGGTTTGTTCTGTAGACTCTCGGAACAAAAATTTTCCTAAAGGGGCTAATAATTTTGTCCTTAAAATGGTGTTTAAAAAATTAAAAACTGCTTTTATTCTAGGCGGAATAAAACAAATAAAACTTTCTCCAGAAATAAATATATTATCAAACATACTGTGAAAATGTCCTTGTTCTAACATCATTTGTGAAAAATGTAAAAAAGGGAAAAAAAAAAATTTATTTATGTGATGCAGCAGGTCCAGAAACTGATGTATACACTATGATTTTATATGAAATTCACTTTAATATGTGCTATGACTTAAAAAGTGGTCATAAACATACTTTCCCAATTCAAACGAGTAGCATCTTGAACCCGGAAACAGTATTCCATATGTTATGACCTAACAAGCGGATACTAATATTTGTGTTTGCTTCTATATGCTCTTTTTGGACTAGCTTTTTGGTCAGCAGAGGTCCATTCATTAATTTTCCTTCAGCTTAGTCCCTTTATTTATCAGGGGTTGCCACAGCGGAATGAACCGCCATCTATTCCAGCATACGTTTTATGCAGAGGATGCCACAACCCATTACTAGGAAACACCCATAAACTCTCACATTCACACACATACACTAGGACCAATTTAGCTTATTCGCCTATAGCACATGCAAAAATATGCAAACTGCATACAGAAGCACCAACTGACCCAGCCGGGGCTTGAACCAGTGAATTTCTTGCTGCTGAGCCACCATGCTACCATTAGCAGAGGTTGTTTTGCATTTTTTAAATCACTAAATACCACACCGAATATCGATTACTGCATGAACTATCTTTTATGTAAGTTTCAAATGGGATGTCCAATAGTTCCTTGTTCACATGCTACAAGTGCTGTAAGTTCAACATTACACTTTTTCTGTGACCTCACTTTTCAATCATGGAATAAGAACCAACAGCCATAAAGCATTCAACTACTATATAAAACAAACAGAATATACAAGCTGTAATGGTAACAGGAGGAGAGAGAAAGAGGACAGCCGGTAGTTTTTCTTGCTTTTGTTTATAAGGTTCATCTCAGGGGTAGAGGCACAATCTCTGAGCAGTCAAAGGTTAAAAGACTCTGAGGGGCTTTTGCCCTGGAAGAATGTGGAAGAAAAAAAAGAAAGACCTTTAAACAGAGGTCCGTGACTGACAGAGGAACAGACTGAGTTTAACATCCTTCCATTGATTTATGTGGCAATGGTAAGTCGAGCACAACTGTGATCTGTCTCCTGATGGAGCAACAATCATGAACTCATATGTGAATAACAAGAAAATGACATTGACGTACAGTGAGCTAGCGAACCGCTGGCATTTCTGTTTAAATATTAATATTCTGTCAACCTCAAAAAATGGCAACTTTTTATGAGTTTTCAGCATTTCGGGGCCAGAAAAAACTAACTTTTTAAAACATGTTTCAAAGTGCAGGATTTGAAAATGCTACCATTTGTTGTCTCAGTGTTATTTTTTTTATTATTAGTAGAGGAATAGCGTCCAAATTAACAACTCCAAATTAGACACATTAATACACTAGAGAGTCGAGTAGCAGAGCTGGTACAGATGTACATACACCCACAATCAGCCGCAGTGAGATTTTAAAGACTTTTAGGCCCCGTAATACATTTTAGCTGTGAAATGGCGTTTTAGAATGAAAACAATCTGCGTCCACACCGGCGTTTCACCCAGCGTTTCTGAACAGATCTCCGTCCATACTACACCGCTGTAAATGCACATCACATGACCACACACACACTCTAGCATGCACTGCAGCGTGCTTTGGGCACATCTACCCATTTAAGAGCTGTATGGCAGTTTACAAATTAGACAACAACAAGCTTCCTTTTCCTGTAACAAAAGCACGGTAGATAACAGTAAATCTAATTATTATTATTATTATTATTATTATTATTATTATTATTATTATTACTGATTGATTGATTGATTGATTGATTGATTGATTGATTGATTGATTGATTGATTGATTGATTGATTGATTGATTTTCTTATTTTTTTTTATTGGTTTGTTTTTTCGTCTTATTTTGTGTAAAAGAATCCAACCTCAAATCTTTAATATATTTTTTTAACACAAAATAAGATGAAAAAATAAACAAATTAAAAATGAATAATTATAACATAATTAATTTCTTGTGAAAAGCCTGATGCGGCCCAGCCTCAGACTCAGGCCCTGCCTCCAGCAGTCCCCAGGTAAATTGAGTTTGAGACCTCTGGCGTAAGTGCTGGAGATTTACATCTGATTCCAGAGCTGGCTTTACTGCCAAAATGTGCGTGAAAATAGCCTTCGATTAATCATTCAGACCATCTCTCAGCCTTTTCAAAACTTATTTTTACCATCAAAAACAATTTTTCTTTAAAGTACATCATGGCATTAAGGTGTTCTAAGTAGTTGTTAAGGTGTCGCTAGGCCATTGCTTACTGCCACAAATCTCATGGCTCGGGTCCCTCCTTTAAATGTACATCTATGGCATCTTTTATCCTTTTAATCACCCGCTATTCAAAAACCGTAGCTCATAACGCTTTGAAAAGTAATAGCATGGCTCTCCTCAACAAGCCACACAATCTGCAGTATTATTCATGTCTGTAGCGTAAACGGTGCAGGGCGAGTCATGCACTGAAATCTAATACTCTTGTATTTCAAAAGAGCAAGGAAAATCCTGTTTTCTTGATATGGCCCCTTTGAAATCTCTGAGTATTAACACAGGCTCAGTAGCAGTTTAGATGTTAAACAGAGTACATTTAGATTTTGAAACAATATGGATCGTGTATGCCTTTTTCTTTTGCACGCTTAATTAGTTTGATGCATAAAAGAGCCACAAGCATATGTGAACGAATCCCAACAGAGACAGAAAAAAAAGGCATTTCCACGGCAGTTCAGCTGCTCGTATCTCTCTTTTCATCCCGGTGTGTAGTGTTTATACATCCACTAACCCGCTGTGTCAGCCTAACAGGAATGTGTGCAGTGTGTGTGGGACGGTGTGTTGATGTACGGGGGTGTGAATGGTTTCCTCTTTCTTAAAAGCACAGACAAAAGGAAGAACGCTGTTTACAAAGCTTACAGTAATACAGCTCTCGGAGACGCTCATTCATTGATCTCTTGATACCACTTCTCTCTCACTTTCTTTCTCTCGCTCGCTCTTTCTGTGCGCACACACACATAGAGAGACGCACAAAAAAGCTAATCCAGATCTACTGACAACAGCTCTTTTGTTCTGTATTATCAGAGAGAAAAGAATCCCTCTCTTTTAGTGAACGACAGGATGAGCCGCTGATGGAAGCGATGCAGTCATGCAGAGGTCACTGGCGCGCACAAACTCTGAATAAAATGACTGGCTAAACAAGCTAGTCATGCCAACATCATGGCATCAGATAAAACTGCATTTCCGCTGCTCAACAAGTAAAGCAAGAAATGCAGCGGGAATGGGTTTGAATCACTGGTGGAAAATTACATGCATACGTGTACATTAAATATATGTAGCATTACTCTTTTCAGC